TAAGATTTCAGTTTTGCTGTTATGTTAAATGATAAAAATTATTAAATAACTAGGTATTTCAAAGTAATGAAATGCTGAAATATTAATTATTAGATAGTCCTGAGTTCAACTATTTCTGGCTTCTTGTCACAGGAACGAACATTAAAAGATAAATTAAGATCTGCTAATGAATATATCTTGTATTTTATTACAAAAGCCTGTGCTTTTGAAGTTTGCAGAATATATTCCTGGATTTGCCAATGGAAATGCTATTTGCTTGCTTTTAATTGTTAGTAAAAATTAAGGTTCTGAAGGTTGATTGTAATTAATATGAAAGGAAATAATATGTGTTTTCAAGGAAGGTATAAGGTATAGAAATACATTTTTGAAGGAACTGAAAGAAAGTAGTTTGCCCTAAGGATAGTTACTTCTAAATGAATGAGAGGAGACAAACTAAAAGGGACTGTGGAAGTTGTAGAAGACTTGTAAAGAAAAATCTTGAGAGAATTTTATATGTGGTTAAGCTAAATGCAATTAATTTTGTAAATTTAAATATCAAAAGTAAGCTGGTGCAAAATTAAAGTTTTCTCTTTTTGCTAACTAGGACAAAGTTTCTTAGACTATTAATCTGCTACTGATATTATTAAAAAGTTTTCTGTCTAAAAAGCAAAGATGATGTGTGTCATAGAATAATTTCTATATTTTATATTACCTTAATTAAGTCTTTAGTTACTTAAGAAAACTAAATCTCCACAATAGTTTTGCTAATAATGATGTAAACTTCTGTATTTCAGGGCTGCTAGAGTGCCCTCCTCGGTGTCAGATATAGTGTAAGGAAGGTTGGCCTAATGTTTTCCCGGACCTGGCGTAGTGTTATAGTAATTCTGACTTACTGTTGCATCTTAATAAGAGGGCTCAGAACCTAGACAAGGGCAGGGAATTTATTTAAATGTCTTTAACAACCAAGCCAGGGAAAACAAGGAAAGAAAGGAACAGTGAGACTGGAAACGAGACAGGCCAGAATTTTGGCCTCAGTTATGGACAAACCAGGGCTAAAGCCACCTCAGAGCCATCTTGGCAATCCCAGAAGAGGAACACCAGGTAAAGGAGCCTGCTTTGGATGTAGAAACCCAGACCACTGGAGTAAGGAGTGTCCTAATCCCCCAAAACAGCCATGCCCCCTGTGCAAACTAAAAGGGCACTAAAGGAGGGATTGTCCCCTGCTCTGAAGCGAGAGGGGAACAACTCCCTCCCCACAAATGGCTGTAATCAACTAACAGGCCTGAAGTTCCCAGCAGCTTCCCAGGAGAAAGAGGCTATTCTCATCACAGGAGTAGAAGTGCAGGTGACCCTTGATGTGGCAGGTAAACCTGTTCATTTCCTGATTGATAAGGGAGCCATTCATTCTGTCTTGACCGCTCACTCTGGACCTGTTTACTCTGAAATCTGCTCGGTTGTGGGGATACATAAAGCCCCTAAATTTGGGCTCATACTCAAGCCTGTTCCTTACCGTTGGCCTATACCTTAGAGGAAATGTAAAACGAGCCATCCAGGCTTTAAAAGGACTCTGGAAAAGTTTTGTCAGGAGGCCTCTAAGCCCTGGCTTTAATGGCTGCCTATTGCTTTGGAGTCTAACCTCAATTCTGTTACTTCCTATGCTGTTAACTGGGGAGAGGCTCAGCAGGCACTTAGAAAATATGGGGGACAGGCACCTCCCCCAGGCTGACCCCTTTACACATTGCAGCTCCAGAAAGCCAGGGGACCAGGTACTATTAAAAGCCTAGAGGGGGAGGGGGTCCCTAATAGACCAGTTAGCTCCTAAATGGAAGGGACCCTTTGCAGTTCTTCTGAGCACCCCAACTATTGTTGGGCTTCAGAAAGTCAGTGGCTGGGTCCACTTCCTTCAAATCAAACCTGTTTCATTAAGTCTCCACAAGACTCCCCCAGAAGAAAGACTGTTGGTCCTGTTCCTATGAGCCAGCTGAAGACCTTAAGCTGTGCTTCAAACAGACAAGCAAGCCAGTCTCCCAAGGCCGGTAAGTGCTGATGACTGCTGGAGCTGCTCATTACGCCTTTCTCTTGGGCATTATCTTGGGTCTAGTTTTCCTCTTTACTGGTGCCCTACCTGGGATCTAACATAAGAGCTAGGGGCAATAGCCTCTCTAACAGCTGGATATCCCATAAACAGCCACCTCCCTGCAATAATAGGTTAGCAAGAAACTCTAGCGCCCATAAGCAGGGACAGCACCCACTCCCAGCAGGAAGCAGCCAAGAACAGTCATTGTCCCTTTGCAACCATACTAATTTTATAGAAATGAAGTGAATAAAAGATGGGGGGGACTGAAGCAGGGCCCAGTTAGGGCCCCCATAGTAGAAGCCTGGCTGAATCGTCAGCCTCACCTTTCCTTGAACTATAGCTTAGTAATAGATTGTCCTCCTATGACTTGAGCTGGAATGTCTCGTCCCAGTTCCCTGCTTTAGAAAATTACCCTGAAACTTATGATTAATACTCTTATGTTTATTGATCACAATCTGTATGATCTAGCATTCTTTCCAGGCTACTCCCATCATTGTTCCTGGGTTGCTGATGCCACCAGCGAACCACGCCAGAGGGAAGGTTCCATGTGGACCCCCCGGAACAGTCAAGTAGCCTCTGAAGGAACACCCAGATTTTCCCTTAAATACCCTAAGTCGGTCTGAGAATGTTAAGACAGTTTTTTGTTTGTTTGTTTGTTTTGTAAAGATTTTTATTGGGAAATTGGGGAGGGGAACAGTGTTGGGGAATTGGGGGAGGGGAACATTGTGTTTTTCCAGGACCCATCAGCTCCAAGTCAAGTTGTTGTCCTTCAATCTTAGTTGTGGAGGGTACAGCTCAGCTCCAAGTCCAGTCACTGCTTTCAATCTAGTTGCGGGGAGGATGGGGGTGGGGGGGCATAGTCCACCATCCCATGCAGGAGTCGACCCAGCAACCATATTGCACACTGAGTCATCCAGCCCGCCCGTCGGCAGCTCGCAGCTGCTCAGCCCAAGGTGCTGTGTTTAATCTTAGTTGCGGGTGTGCGCAGCCCACCATCCCATATGTGTGTTGAACCAGCAAACTTGCTTCTAAGAGCACACACTCTCAGCAGCTCAGCGGCTCAGCGGCTCAGCGGCAGCTCAGCTCGGGCACAGCTCACTGGCCCATGTGGGAATCGAACTGGCGACCGTGTTGCTCAGAGCTCATGCTCTTAACCAACTGAGCCACTTGGCCAGCCCCTGTTAAGACAGTTTTTGAAGGTGTTAACCTGCAGCCTTCTTAGACCACCGGTGCTCTAACAATAAACGCCTATTCTAAGTAGTCCAACTCCTGTGTCGGTCTATTGGCTGAGTGGTACAGCCAGCATGAGCCCCGGACTCAGTTGCCCTCTAGTTTCACTCCTATCTTGCTTTCTTCTAATCACATCTTTCTAACTGATATCTCACCTTGCCACATGGTATATATTTTGAAAGACACCTTGGAGAGTTTAGCCAAGCTTATAGTTAGAAAGAACACATTCCCCACAAGACCCCCCTCACTTCTGACACCAACTACAAGTTCCAGGGGTTCCCCAAACCACCCTTAGTTTCAAAAATTTGCTAGAAGGACTCATAGAACACACTGAAAGCTTTTATAAACTCATAGCTATGGTTTATTACAGGGAAAGGATACAGATTAAAATTAGCCATAGGAAGAAGTGCATTGGCCCAGGAAAAGTACAAAAACATCCCCTTTCTGTGGAATCCTAGGTCAGTGTTACACTCCTGACATCAATATGTGACAATACATAAAAAAAGCTTCCCCAAGCCTTGGCCCAGATTTTGTTGGGATTTGATGACATATGCAGCCCTTCCAAAGGTTGAGCTGATACCTTTAGCCTCCACTTCTTTTGGAGGTAGAAAAGATACTGCCTGGCTCAAAGTCCTCATCATAAATCACATTGTTAGGCTGTCTGGTGGCCAAGGTTCTCAAGCACACAAGGACACTCCTATCAGTCATGACATTCCAAAGGCCTAAAGATCACCTCCCAGTAGCCAATGACAAAGGCCATACCTCTCTTTGGGTAAAGTTAATTCTTCACTACACAATATGTTAAATTCGTCTTTCAAACAAGGTGAGGAGAAGGAAAGAAGGAATGACCTAACCAATCAAAATTGAATCAGTCCAGACTGATTAGACTTCTAACTACTGCCCCTCATTGACGATAATGTCGCTGGGAGAGAGGTCAAGGCTGAGGGACTTCAGCCACTGAGTCCCGCTGTGAGCTAGCTATGCTGCTCCTGGTCCCTGAGTTGGAGGAAGGGGAGCTGAGTGAGGGGAGGAGAGAAATCTTTTGTGCCCTCTGAGACCAGGGAACACATGAAGATGCTGATGAGGTTGTGGCAGGCTCAGTCTCATTCTACCTTCTCCTGTTGTTAGATGAGGGACTCCCAGGCTGAGCAGGTTAAGATGGGAATGTGTGCAATAGGAGGTGGGAGTCCTAGCAGAACCATTTGGAAAGGATGCTGAGTCAAGGTCATAGTTGGCATCCAAGGTCCAGAGCCTCAGAAGCATTCTCACAAGTCTTCAGGCAGCACCTGAGCAAAACAGCTGCCATTTCTCCCACGTACCTCAAGGAGTCCTGGGAAGAGGAAGCTATGGTTCCTGAAACACCTCCTGTCTGTGAGGCTGCAGAGTCCCTTCTGCAGAGAGGTGGAACTTGATGTGATGGTCCACCCCAGCAACCAGGGGAGAAGGAAATGCAGTCAGTTGAACAATGGGGGCCAAGCTAATGTTGCAGGGCTTCCTAGAGGTCTACTAAGCCCACCTGCACACAGTACTCCAGCTCCGGGCTCTCTCTGTTGCTGTCCCTGTGTGCACCTCTGTTGGGCTCTCACCCTCCTTGCAATAACTCTCTAACACACACTGTCTTAACTAACTCGGGCTGCCATAACAAAATACCACAGACTGATTGGCTTACACAACAGAAATATATTTCCTTATACTTCTGGAGGCTAGAAGTCTGTGATCAAGTGTCAGCAAGGTAGGTTTCATTCTGAGCCCTCTTCTTTTGCTTGCAGGTGTCTCCCAACTCCATGTGTGCTCATGTGACTTTTTCTTTTTCAGGCCTAGAGAGGAAGAGAGAGGGAGGGAAGGAAGGTGGAAGGGTGACGCATGGACCTCTCTGGCATCTCATCTCATAAGGGCACTAATCCTTTCCTGGGGGCCCCACCCTCATGACCTCATGTAACCCTAATTACCTTGCAAAGACCGCACCTCCAAATACCATCACATTGAAGGGCAGGACTTCAACATATGAATTTGGGGTGGGGGGACACAACTTTCAGTCCATAATGCGCACCCTATGGCCTATCTGCAGGAGAGCAGTTGCCTATGTCTTAGGCCAAAAGCCGGATAGCTCAGATTTAGTGATGCCCCAGGAAAGTGGTTCTCTAGAGGGCCTGCAACATCTGTGATTATAAGGGACCCATCTAACTGCTTATTTGCATGTGACTTGAGATTCCTCTCCCTCCACATATCTCCCTCCTCCAAGCTCTGTGCTGTCTGGTGGGAGGAGGAGTGAGATCTGACCCCAGGCAGCATGTCGAGCTCAGAGCCGGTTGGGAGACAAGATGTACCTCAGGGAGAGTATCTCAGGCTGGCTTCTCTCTCTGAAGACCCTGTTTTTGGCCTCACAGGTGTAGTTTCCAGCATCCTCCTCTGATGTCACCGGGAAGATGAGGGAGGCTGCTCCACCAAGGGGAACCCAGTGGTTTCCCAGCATCTCCCCATTGAAGTAGAATGAGTGCAAGATGGGAGGGGAGCCCCTCTGGGCCTCACAGAGGAGCTCCGCCATGTCCCCCACAGTGAGGCTGGGGTGCTTGGGGCTCAGGGTGAACAGAGGACAGGACACAGGAGCTGGGGCAGCACCCAGGGTAGGAGGTCAGCTGGGGCATCCAAGCTCCTGGCTCCTCCTTTAGGGATCCTTCCCCCTACTCCCAGAGGGCCCCACTGCCTGATACCCAGACCCTTGGGGGTATCGCCCTCCCTCTCCCACTTACCCCACACTCTGATCTCCAGCTGGTGGCTTTGTTTCTGGACCCTGCCATCCTCAGGAACCACCTTACAGCAGTAAAGCCCAGAGTCTCCCTGTCTGGCTGCTGGGATGCAGACCTCTGGGTGGAGGTCCCTGTCCTGCAAGGTGCGGCGCTCCTTGTGGAAGGAGAAGAGGAGCCGTGAGGTCGACCTCTGGGGGTGCAGCTTCTCCTGGTATCTCAGGGTCAGCGGGCTCCCTCCTGGGGCTTGGGAGAGGGGCCAGCACTCAGCACAGGAGGCAGGAACAGCTCTGGGGAGAGGCAGGCCCAGGGTTCAGGAGGGAAGTCCTGGATAGTGAGGCCCCGGAGGCCGAGGGAGACGCTGTTATTGTCCCCCAGGAACATCATGGGCTCTCATCGTACCCACTGGTTCTGAGATGACCCCCACACAGCTCCAGCCTCAAAATCCCAGAAGGCCAGAGCCAGAGGGCCATAGAGGCCATCTAGTCTCCAGAGGAGAAGGGTCTGGCCCAGGGTCTCTGTGGGAGGGTCATGGCAAGCAGCAGGGCTGATTCAGGGCTCTTCCCTCTTCTCCAGATGTGCCCTGGCTCTGTGTGTGCCCCATGGAGGCAGCATCATGGACATGTCAGGGTCCTGTGGATTAGCCCAGCTTCAGGGGCAGCCAGAGGGAGGGGTGCTGCCCAGAGAGCTGCTGCTATCTAGAGACCTTACTCCCCACAACGCTCCCAGCTGGTGACTCACTTTGGACTTGAACCATGGCGGTTCCTGAGGCTTGTCTGTCCATTTGTGGGAAGCATATCACCTCCCCAGTGCAGCTGTACTGGCCACTGCTCCTCATGGTTGCTGTCCCCATGAATAGAGGCTGGTTGTCCCTAGAGAAATGCAGGACTTTTCCATCTTTATAGAACTTCACGTAGGACAGGGTTACATTCTTCCTTCCATGACATCCTCCTTCAAACACAGGGTCTGGCCAGTCTTGGAGGAACAGCCAGACTGTGCGACATGGGAACAGGGTCACCCTGAAGCAGGTCTCATCAGTCAATTTTCTCCCTCTGTCCCAGCCTACGGCCTCCCACTTGGTATGGAGTCTCCTAGATGGCACTTTGCAGCTGTCACTGTCCTTGCAATAACTCTCTAACACACACTGTCAGTTCTTTTTGCCAGGATGGGACAGGGCCTCTGCTTTCCTTCCCCACTCCTTCTTCTTTTCTCTTTCCTCTTCTCTTCCTCTTCCCCTTATTTTTTCCCTTTCTTCTCTCTTTTCCTCTCTCCCTGACCCTACTATACTATATATTGAGTTTTCCTTCTCCCTGACATGTTTAGTGCCAGCTAGGATCATTTCAACCACTTAGCTGTCTTACTCTTCCTGAAAAGGTTCTCATTTTTCACACTTTATATCCTGCCTTGGTCCAAGCTGACTCAATAGCCCCCATGTCCAGTGACAGCTCCCTGTCCAGATCCTGTGAGAATCGGGGATGAGAAGCCTAGGCTGGTTCCCTCCTACCTTCCTCCTCAGAGGCTCGCCCAGGCCCATCCTCCATCACTGCCCCAAGCCCGTCTCCATCCCCAGCAGAGTATGAGTGATGCTCAGAAGGTAGAATCTATACGAATTTACATATATTGTTTATAACAGCAAAAAATTAAAAACAACTAAATGTTCATTAATAAGGGGCTGGTTAAATAATTATAGTCCAATCACATAATGAAATATAATATAGCCAAGAGAAAAAGGAGAAAGGTCTATAAGTAGCTATGTGAAATTAGCCCAAGATAAAGTGTTAGTGAAAGAAAATTTAAAGCAACACGTGGAACTGTGTGCACCGCGTACCTCCATTGTGTATGAAAGATATACACATATATTTGTTTGCATATGCATATGTATAAAAGTTTTAAAATATAGTGGGTAGACTGGTTAATTCATGGGCTAGGATTAGGAAGACATGGTTTTCACAATGGGCTTCCTTGTTCTTTTTAAAAAATTTAATGTTTTTTACCACATTCACGTGTATTTTTCAATAATAAAAAAAAGCTAGATAAAATAAAAGATTCGAATTTTCTTTATTTCCCCCAGGCATCCTTCAATAAACCCCTCTAAATTACCTGAGTATAGATCCATTCCTGGCAACTGAAGGTCCTAAATAAAAACTGAGTTTCTCAGTGCATAATGATAACAGTTAGAGGTAAGGAGTAGACTCTGGAATTGAGAGTCCAGGAGACTGTAGCTCAGGCAAAAGAGGATGATTAGGCACAAAGCCTAACAACTAACAATAGGCTTGAATTTTGTTGATGGTGGAAGATAAAAGAGATACAAAGTGGCTGAGCCCATGTCCTTGAGTTACATGTCAAGGTCCCAGGTAGTATTGGAAGATGTTTGAGGTTAGCAGATGCAGTCTTAATTCAGAGACAAAAAGAAGGGTTTTCTGCTAGAAGTTGGTTCTCTCTCCAGCTAGGGGAAAGGTTCATTGTGCCCCTGTGTGACGAACTCCCAGTAGATCTGGTCACAGCATCCTTTAACCACTGCTGGCAGGGCTATGACTTCATTTGCTGAAGAGGCCTGAAGTGAATGAGAGAATCGCTAAGAAGGAAATGCAGAATGAGTCTAAGCACAGATGTTTGTCACTGAGGAGGACAGGGAAGTCCAGGGTCATTCACAGCAGGGAAGACACGCTGAAACCTTCCTTGCCTTCAAATCTGGAATATACCACTGCACAGATGGGCACAAAAACCTGAGTTCAGTAAGACAAACCTAGCTTTACTGACTGATCAGAATCAAGGGCTATAGTGAACTCATCCAGACAACTGTCCCCTCAGACAGACAGTTCCAAACAGCCTGAGTGGTGAGAATGGGACATGAACACAGGCATACACACAGGAACAACAGGAACATGAAATTAAAGAGGTACTAAACTTTCCATCACATTGATCTGCAATTGAGAAAAGTGCTGGGGATTAGATTCGACAATAAGGATGTCCTGAAAGATAGAGTGGTTAAACGTGGGAATGGTGGATACAGGAGGATAAGTAAGCCCCCTTAATCCCTCTTCCTACACAGATTTGGAAAGTGCCAGTCTCCACTACTTCCCCAGCTCCACCTGAAAATTGTGCACAGCCCCAGGCATACCTCTCCCCACTCACCACGTTCTCTGCTTCAGGAGGAACAAGGAAAGGAGGCCAGATGGGACTTAAGTGATAACCACTTTGTCCTCCCAACAGGGAGGAGACCAGGGTAGGGTTGGGGGACTTTGTAAGGTAGTAATTGACTTTGGTGTCAATTATTAGAGAAAAGGTAAATCTTCATACATGCCAACAGGTCTGATGAGGTAGATCTCAGCATGCGGAAAGAACGCCTAAACTCTCAGGCGCCTAGCTCCAACTTGAAGGAGGTAAATGGACAATTATAGTCACCTGGGAGAAAGATGCTAGGCTGGTATCCAGACAGACCAGGAACTAAGAAGGGAGTCAGCTAAAGGTGTCTAAATTATATCTTATGAGACAGATTCCTAGTACTCCTTTTTTACAGTTTCTCTTTTGCTTTCCCTAGTCTTTAGTAAAGACTTGTCTAAAGATTTTAGCCTATCAGCTGCATGTTGAAGGGGAAACAGAGTTCCCCAAAGCTCAGCATGGTAGACACCAACAGTAGTAAGCAAGGAGAGCCTCCAGAGAGGGTGAACCTCAAAAGCAGAGAGCACCTCGGGTCTGTGTGGTCCAGTGGACCCTCCCCACCAGGAGATCCTTGTTCTACGACCAACTTCAGTGGCTCTGAATTTTGCTACTATAAAAGAAAGCAATGTTTCCTTGCAAAAATACACACTGAGCAGTAACTAGCTCTCTCCCCTTGCAGGAAGTGGTGCTTCTCCCACTCCAAATCACCTTTTCCCAAACCCTACCCCAGAACATACTTAATTTAACTGTGTGAAAATACAGATTGCTTTTGGTTTTGTGGAATAGGGGATTCGTTTATGCTTATTTATCCTCAGGTGCTACATGAACTCTATATGTGATTAAATGTGTCTCATCAATGCTGTCAGTATTATTTCCTTTTAATTTTCATTTGGTCATGTTCAGTTTTCTGATTTCGAGGCTCACTTAGCATGGCCATTGGTAAAAAATCTTGCAAACCTGGTGTGGGTAGGGGAGGAGTTTCTAGAAGGCTACCTAGGCAGTATGCTTGAAGAAGCCACTCTCGGGCTGCCGAGTGGCTCAGTTGGTTGAGTTGGCTTGGGACGCCAGCTCTGAGCAGCAGGGCCCCGGTTCGGATCCCACATGAGGGCCAGTGATGCTGCGCCCTCTACAGCTAAGATGGTGAACAACAGCTCCACCTGGAGCTTGGGCTGCCGTGAGTGGCCAGCGATGGTGTAGGCTGCAGCCCCTGCTGCAGTGGACTGCCGAGAGCTATCGTGAGTGGCTGGCAGCCAGTGTGAGGGGCCGGCGGCCGGCGAGAGCTGCCATGAGCCGCCATAAGCAGCTGTCCAATGGCCAGCAACTGACTGCCTCAGCCGGGAAGAGCGCAATGATCATAATTCCAACATGGGCCAGTGAAGCAGTGTCCTCCACAACTAGACTAAAGAACAAAAGGACAGCAGCTTGTCTGTTTCCCTTCCCCAATTCCCCAATAAAATCTTAGGAAAAAAAAAAAAAGAAGCCACTCTTAATCACATCTCCCTGCCCCCCCCCACCTCCTCCTTACATGAAATTCTATTGATTTCTTTTTAGTTGTCACTGCCTTTTCCCAGTTCTTCTTTTAATATGCAAATACTGCTAGGAAGATGAAACCACAACATATCTCTGTTTAGAAACTGTTCTAATATGTTTGTAAATGTTCAGAAAAGAAATGTAAATCTTCTTGCGTAAAGCAGGCTTAGTTGAAGTTACGAGCTCATTTTGGTAAATACGCAAGCTTAAGTGTGTAAAAGCAAAGGGATTTAAATCAATCTAAGCTTCAAAGGGCAGGAGTTAAGAGTCAAAGTACAGTAGCCAAAAAATATTTTCTTGACCAAAAGACACTCTCCTGGGACTCTTTACCATGAATGACCTAAAGAAAATAACATAAGGCAATCTTTTTCTATTTCCATTCAACTCAACAAAGATCTATTTAATTCTACTATATGTAAGGCACTGTGCTAAGTGAAACTGGGGACCCAAAATTGCACCCGGCAGTCTTCATTCCCAGGCCATCTAGCCATGCGGTAAAAACATAAATGGAAACACAAAGGGTCAGAGTACCAGGACAGTTCAAAGAAGGGAGAGAGCCCACCCAGCTGGAGTGCTCAACTGGTATTGAGAAGGGATTTGGAGACAGTTATAAGAGAAATAAATTGTATATGAAGGAACTGGAATGAACAGAGATAGGAAACCACAGGAAATATTAGATGGTCAGGTCTGAATGGGGCATAAAGTAGGAGTGAGGAGTTAGTGGAAAATAAGGATCAGAGAGAAGTTTGGCACCCTCTGAGCAACACCAAGGCAAAGGAAGTTTACGGTTAATCAGCAACATGTGTCTTCTGTTGTTTCCCATGTCTTTTACGGCTGAGAGCTCATCCCTAACCACCCACTAGAGCAGGGGTCAGCAAACTGCGACTCGCGAGCCACATGCGGCCCTGTGGGTATGTACATGTGGCTCTGAAGTAAAATTGAAAATAAAAATAAAACTATCATAGTTTCATTTATAAAAATTTTTTAAAAAGATTTTATTGGGGAATTGGGGAAGGGGAACAGTGTTGGGAATTATAGAAGGGGAACGGCCAAGTTGTTTTTCTTCAATCTTAAATTGTAGAGGGCACAGCTAGCTCAGCTCCAAGTGCAGTTGCCATCCAGCTGCCCATCAGCAGCTCGCGGCCACTCAGCTCAAGATGCCATGTTCAATCTTAGTTGTGGGTGGGCGTAGCCCACCATCCCATTCAGGAGTTGAACCGGCAACCTTGTTGTTAGGAGCACGTGCTCTAACCACTGAGCCATTCTGTCACCTGTTGGCAGCTCAGTGGCAGCTCAGCTCGGGCGCAGCTCACTGGCCCATGTGGGT